GGAGGTGCTTGTCTTTCCTCCAGGGGAGGATACATCCTTGTACTTGCCGCAGAGGCAGCTCTGTAGACCTTCAGACAACACCACAGCTTTTAACTGCCTAGCCCTCAAGGTGACAAATTCTGCCATATTCTTCTTTTCCTAAATCCAGCCTTCTTTCAGAACGTCCCTAAAGTTTCTAGTTTTCAAAAGCTGGCCCATTGCATTTTGGCCTCACTATCCGCTGGTCACTAAAGCACAACACAGCAGAGATTTATCTCACCAGCCACCCTACTCAGTGAAGGAGACACATCCAAAGCCTTCAGCATGCTTTGATGCTCACTTCAACGCTTCCAGAAATAGTAATATTGCACATTTATTCAGCATCTGCTTGAGGAAAATGCATCTCTAATAACCATCAAAATACAAAGGCAGTCAGATGTTAACACTTCTTTTTCCACCCCTTTGTTTCAAACCACTCCAAGGAAGCTTTATAAACCATGCTGATGAATGGAGAGGGTCCAGCACTGAAAAAATGCAAGATAGGCTGTTTTATTTCTTCCTTCGTGAGAAGAGAACAGCCTCCACTGAAGCAGGGAAATAGAAAATGAACCTCTGAGGCAGTCATGCAAAATTTCAGACAGAGCCTTACTCGTGTGATTCTGTTTAATCACCGTCCATTTCCTCTTCACTCTTCAACTAAATAATAAATATGGAGTGGTTTTTTTCATTACCATTTGAGCCAAAACTGGTCCTGGAGAAAATATGAAAATAAGGGGAGAGCTTTGAAATCAGTGGGTTTCACTGATTTTAAATACAAGGCACCTGTGTAAATTTCTAATCCAATAATTAATAATCCAGCACCTTTTCATCTTAGGAGCTGTCAGGAGTAATTTCCACATCTGAGTGTAACACACATCATAAATCCACTCCAAATGATTTTTAAATTTGTCCTTTCCAATTCCGGTTTGAATTGACATTTTGTTCTGGTTGAAGTGGCATCCTCAGACGCCTTCTCCCCTGCAATTAGTTGAGATTAAGCAGTTGGAGAACCAGCACAGCAAAGATCAGAAATGCTCATAGTCACTGATGCTTTGATCATACTGAACAGCAGAACAGCAGTAGGGTGTAGTTTGTGACTCTAAGTTGCATAAATAAATATATTTCTGAGACTGCTTTCAAATGATCTGTAACAGGCTGTGCCAGCAAGTGGACTCATTTTTTACTGCTGGAAAGCAGCTTATGTGCTAGAGTCTGAATGCAGCTTCAGTGCTAAGCACACAGAGCCTCATCGTTTTCTTTGTTCAATATTTATACCTTCCTGCACGACTTAATGACATGCTAAAAAAGAACTAAGTGTGTTCCAATTGCGGATGTGGATTGATTTAATCATTAGCAATCTGAAAGTATGCAGAGCTATGGGTTATTAGTATTTTATATAAACACTACAGCTCATCTTTTTGGAGCGTGTGTGCCGGCTATCCCAGCAATGTGAGCAGCCTGAGACAGGCAGTACAGCACAGGGTTTTAGTCACACCCTATCCACTGAATTTAATAGCAGTTGAGCAGCTAAAACCCCTTATCAGTGCTGTGGAAGTGTATCCCAGGGTGAGCGTACACTGGCCACAGCTGCCTGAATCCTATCAGCTAATGCCGCCTGCTTGGCTGCACCCTGGGTAGAGCACGCATTACGGGGAGCAAAGTTTGACACGTGGGCTGTCTTAATATGAGCATTTGGAAACTGAGATGATCTGTGCACTGGCACACATTTCCTAAAGGCTTTTAAAAACTTTATTATTCAGTTGCTGATACTTGCCGGCCAGGGCTGAGATGCTACAACAACAACCAGATGTGGAGTACTTTGGCCTTGGTGCTTCCTTCCATCCTGAGGGAAACTTAGAAGATTGAACGGACAAAAATTCAAATAAGCAGACCCCCCAAACTCACTGAAATGTTTTGGATCCCCAAATTGTTTGCCTATGCTTTAAATTCCCCAAGTGCTCGACAGCTGTTTGCAGGGCTGCTGCTTTTTCTTCCCCTGAACTGGCTCCTTATCTCTTTCAGCACCTTGTGGGATGCTTTGCCCCTCACTAGGTAATACTTACATAGTGAAATCAAAGTCACATAAATGATGGGCTGCTCATCTCGTCATACAGTCACTAAAATTGTTGCAGGTCCCTTTGCACATAGCACGTATGCAAAATGTAGGCATCTCAGCATGGTGAACTGCCTGAAAAAGAGGGTAATCCAGGGGACCAATGCACCTACAGGGGACAGTCAGGGCCGGAGCTGAGAATGTAGACAGAGAAGGGAAATGGGGAAAGAAAGGGGTAGCAAGAGAAAACAATCTTAAGGGGGGGGAAAAAAAAAAAAAGGAAAAAAAAAAGATGGAGAAATAAACACTAAAAATTCATTTTGTCCTGGGGGATTTCCAGCAGGTGGACTCCTGTAGCAGATCTTTATTGAAAGGATAGCATCTGTTTTTCATAAATAGTTTCTGAGCAGTACCTTTAAATGAATTTGCAGAAGAAGGAAGCATCATTATCTTCATTATACCTGCGGGAAAGCTTAGGAAAAGAGAACTGATTTGCTTAAAGTTAAGCTTTTTACCAGCTGAAACAGCAATAGTCTCTTGAGTCACTCTTCACTGCTTCCCTGGCAGAGGTCTAGCTCTGCCGTGCCATCAGTTCTCAGTGTGTGCAGACTAAGGCAAAGTGGTTTTGCTGTACATTTTTTGCTGTTGCTCAGCTAGATGTGTTTGCTAAGCAGAAGTGATCACTTTCTCCTTTTTTTTGATCCAAACTTCCTGCACCTTTCCCATGACTCGGTGGGTTCATAAGAAAAAATGCTACTCACCGCTGCTTGAAGTTTTTAAAAAATTAGTTACCCCACAGAGTCCCAAGAAAAATATGGACCAGTTCCCAGATAGGTAATCCCATCCAAAGAGCATCCTCTGAACGATACTGCAGGAGGCATCCCAGACAAGAGGGATGTACAAAGGACCAGCACATGTGGCCATAAAAATGGTTTCCCAGCAGTGTTGACACAGCCCAGCAATTTGAGGGGAGAGGGGTCTGAGATACTTCTGAGGCTTTGGCGTTTTTACTTATTGAACTTTTTATTTGTCCATTGGCTCTTCCCAGTTTCCCTCAGAACTGAAGTTTGAGAAGCCACAATGCTTCAAGTCTGGTGGTTCCTGCAGTGTCTCAGTCTGTGAGGTGCTCTGTGACAACTGGGCACCAGGACCCCCCCATATCCCCACTGGGACACTGCTGCTGATGGAGGTGGCAGTGCAATAATCTCTCTCTCCCCCGAACTCGGTTCCTGAAGCAGCACAAACAAACCCTACAGTATTTGCAAACATTTCAAATACGATGCAGCCTGGTTTTGGATGGGAATTGGCTTCGACCACGGCCAGTCAATCCAATGGATACATAGTCCAGTTCTGCTGCTGGCACACACATTCACATCTTCAATTTTTAAAAAATGAGAAGGAAGTAAAGAAATGATCGTTGGGGGTTCAGCTGCCCGTCCGTTGGCAGGTCACAGCTGACTCCGCAGTTCTACATGTGTTTGCTACCTCCACTAATCCCAATGGGATGAAGTGATTTATTTTCCCATTCCCTTTCTGTAAACCATCCATTGGCAGCAGCCAGAGTCAATCAATTGCTTCCACCGGAGCTCACAGCACAGACAACAGTCCTGCACAGCAAAGACAGCAAAAAATGACTGAGGGAGCGAGCGAGTGGCTGGGGAGTGTGCACAGAGCCAGCTGCTCATGGACAGAGCTTTGATCAGCCCTGCAACCTGTGAAACACCAATGTTACTCAGTGCCAGAAACCCAGGCAGCCCTGTAGCCCACTGAGGAACATCACCTTCACAAACAGAAACCTTCTGCTCCAGCTGAGGGGTGGGCCATAGAAAAATACACAGGACAGTTGGAAACATGGGCAAAGGTCTCATGTCTGTAGAAGCAGCACTTCTTTTTCCTTGAAAACAAAGGCTATCATGTACCTTCTTTCATTATTTTCCTTTGGGCTAGAGGGAAATTGTGAAAGGTCGCCTTCATGGAGAAGGAGCCCTCTAGTGAAACCTTCTGAGGGTAAGACAGCAATCAGACACAGAGGATTTCTGTGCTGGTTCTTGCTGTTCTTTTACAACCAAAATTGTTGGTAGTAACAGGGGCAAAGTAGCAGTATAAAGAAAAGGGTGATTTTGATAATAAACTTCAGGTTTTCTCTTATTTGAAAATAATGAAAGCGAAATACATAGAAATATCATTACCTTTTGTGCTTACTGCCTATCTGCAGGACTCATTGTAGCACAGGACAAGTGCGTTATCTTCTTGCCCTGCACCACTCCACAAGCAACTGAAATATGTAACATCACTCAGGTGATGGATGGCAACTGCATAAAAGATATCGGTATGACACAAGTCGGGAGGGTACTTTATGGACATTATAGAGGGAATTTAAGCAAACAATGAGTAACTACCAAGTTTTGATTTGGTTTTGATCCAGAGTTTAAAACTTCATCTTTTGATAATTTTCAGTGAAATTTCATGATAACAAGCCAGAACCTGGGTTCTGAAATTATGCAGAAAATGCTGCTGAATATCATACTCGAGTAATGGAATAGGTTGGGTCAGGGAGGTGAGTTTTTGATCACAGCCATTGAACCAAGGTTTTCCAAATATTCCCCTGAGACACCTCTATCCTATAAGCAAGGGTTAAAACCAAGAAACTGTACTGTTTCTTTAAAAACAGAGCACCTGTGTTCTTCTTAAATATGGAAGGGAATGGGAGCAGGAACATGAGCTCAGTGCGTGCTGTGTGGAAGTTTTGATGGATGTGAAACGACAGCCATGCTAGGGAGCACATACTTTTCTCCATTGTGCTGCTTTCTTGGGCTGTAATCTCATCTAATTTTGAATCCAAATGCAAGCTATAGCATCAACACAGCCTCTCAGTTTCTTTCCAAAAAACATTTAATTATTGCCACCCTTGTGTGTTTGTTTTGCCCAGTGAACAGCAGCAAGCACATAGTGAGAAAATACCGTGGGCACCTCCGAACCAAGATTGAGTCTGGAGAGGGCACCATTCCCGTCCGGTGTCACAACGCGGCCCAGACGTGGGACGGCGTGTTGCTGGGAGAGCAGCTCATCACCATGTCCTGCACAGACAAAATCGCCAGGTACCGTAGCACCCGGTGTACGCACATCGCAAAAATCATCGCGTGTCAAAATGAAGTGTGATGCCACAGAGCACTATGACTACCATGGGGGAAAAGCTAGCAGGTGCTGGAAACCCCTGTGGAAACAAAGACCTTCTTTGTATGCAAAAACAAACCATATAAATAGGATGGACTGTAAATAGGACATTTTCCCAAATTCTCCATGGGTCGTTAGTTCCTTTTTACAGCGTGACCAAAAATATAAGCCCTCTTTGCAGCATTTCTGCCAATAGAATTTCAGTGTGCAAATAAAATACATCCACTCTGCTCTTATTGGATCATTTACCCCAAAACTTGCAAACAAACCATCATGCAGATAAACTTAGGTCATCTGCGCCCTATTGGATTAAGTGCCCTAAAAGCTGCTAAGAATATTTTTATTATTCTGAATGTCATTGCAGAACTTGTCACGTCACAGCCCCCTCTGTGGCTTTCTGCTCCATAAATGCAGCATATATTTATGTAGAATAATTGGCATATAATAAATATTTCAACATTTTTCCACGGTGGCACATAAAATGTAAAGAAATTCACCATTCTAATTCAGGGCATTAACTAATAGCAAATGATGGTGATCACAAATGGAAAACAAAGAGTGTGCATTTGGATGCACACATATATTATCAGTATATATCTATACATGCATGTGTACTTATGTTAATAATTATATTTGGTTTGGTTTTACTGCAAACTGGAACATTATATGCATTAGCTATAAATGCAGCTCTACATATTAACTACATTACCTTATAGCTATAAAAATGTAAATGTTATGATCAAATTCTCTGCTGGGATATCATGCCTAAGAACTCAGTTAAATTACACCAGCAGAGAATTTGGCCCAATTATTAAAGGCCAATATAAACATAATCTTTCAAAAAATCATAAAGCTTTTGTTTAACTAAAATGTGTAAATTCTGCTCTTAGCTTTAACTGGATGACCTACTGAAGTTAAATTAGTCTGTAGGCTTAGCAAAGCCTGCCATTCTGGCAGAAAAATGTATGACTGAACCAGCAAACGGAAATACTGACAGACTCACAAAATCCACCCTCTGCTAAGTGTAATCGTCACAACTGTTGTGTTTGCATGAAGGATAAAGAGCAACTTCTGTTAGGATGTTTTCATTTATTCATAAAGAGATAACAGAAAACCCGCCAAAAAAGTGGATCTCCTACACTGCTTTTAGACGCAGTTGGGTTTTCCAAATTCAGACTCAAAAAACTAAAAAAAATGTAAGTTTGAGAACGGAAATATTGCACTCTTTGTGGTTTTGAAAGTCATTAGCCAATGAATTAAATACCAGCTTTGTGAACAGTATTACATTTGCTGTTGATGGGGATGTTGACTGCAATGCACAATCTCAGAAGTTGGATTTTCTCCAAGCACATCTGCTAAGCACTTCCAGTGAATCCTTTCTTTGTTGCCACATATCTAAAGAGCATTAAAGTCTGTGAAGAAAAAAAGAATCTACCACAAAGTTCTTCCAGGATAAAAAAAGTCTTGCAGCTCTCATCCTTGATACTGTTACTGCAATGCTGTATGAATTACTGCAGTTTTATTTGTTTGCACTGTAACTCAAATAGATATGGTATTTTCCTAGACCAAAAAAAAAATGATCAGCAATCATTATTCTCTGCTTTGACCAGCAAATGTTTACTCTTACCAGCAAAGGACAGTTAAAAAAGGTGCTGAGAAAAGTGGTGGAAAAAGCAACATTTGTAGGAATGGTGGTAGTATTGTGGCACTACAGGTGCTTCAGAAGTTTGATCACTTCCAATCACTGTGGGCTCCTTGGTCAGGTTAAGAGCTCTGGTACAGTGAAAATGCATAGAACAACTGCTGAATAAGCAGATGAAGAGAAAAGATCAAGAGACTATGGAGATTCAGAAATCGATGAAGGTTACAAGAAAGAGGGAATGGTCGTTCCTCTTCCGTGGAGATGGGAAATGACCATAGAGGAGGTTATTTGTGGCTCAGGCACGGGCAGCTCCCAGCACCTAGAAGTGATGGAAAGCAAACAAGAGGGGCCCAAGTGGGGATTTTGTGGAGAAAAATTGTTAGTAAAGTAGAGAGCATAGAGCTGAATGTAAAAACAAATACCCTTTCACATGAGAAAGAGAGAAAGGCAGATGCATTCCAGAGAGTGCTGGGTGCATTGCTATGGCTTGTACTATGGTGAAGGGTCTGAAAGCTCCTGGAGAGAGTGCCCAAGGATTTCTAGAGACATCCACAACCCCAGCTGTACTTGCAGCTCATGCCTTTCCCTTCCTTTCTCTCTCCCAGTCACACTGCAAGACCTGGTCCTGGAATTTTATTTCCACCAGGCTCCTATGTACACATACCATGTCATAACTTTAGTTGGTCTCACAAGTTCTGGTTTGGGAGTCACAAAGAGCCAACGCTGCAAGAAAAGTTCACAAAAACATCTCTTGCATGGCAGAAAATAAGCAATCCCCTCAGGGCTGGTGACAACGTTGCCAGAGATTTATGGCTGCTAGAGATTTTGTGCAGAGCTTGAAAAAGAGTGGTGAGAGACAAACTTTGCAGTAAACGTTTTCCCAAACTTCAGTTTATCACATTAAATAAGATCTACACTCAATTTTTACATTTCTTGTCCTCACCTGTAAGAGGAAGAAATCAAAGGCTTCTTCACCTGGTCTTTGCTTTGCCACATACAGAACTCTTTTCTGCTTTCTTTCCCTCTGGTCATAGAAAATAGAGGCAGGGAAGGAGTTTGGTGGATGAGGAGATTGCTGTGTGAGGACCCTTTCCCCACTCCTGCCCCCAGGAAGAGATCAGTAGGTGACTCCAAATATTTGCTCTACCACATAGACAGCTGACTCTTCAAATGTCTGCAGGACGCAGGACTCTGCTGCACAGCATCTTGGACTTGTCTCGCAATGAGAAAAAAAGATCTCTGAAGCTGGAATTCATGTTTGTATAAGCAAAATTTGACAAAAATCTGGCTTGTATACTTTGGATTTTTATTGCTTGTAAAAGCCCCTCAGGAGCACTGGGCTATTAGAGAATGTTTCCTCTTGAGAACGTAGCCAGTAGCTGCTAAAATATACATCATTTTGCATTATTTGCAAAGGACATTGCTATCAGAATATCAAAGACCAAGAATGGAGAGAGTTACTCAGAGAAGTGGATAATATTCTATAAATCATGCGTCTAACGATTTATGTTCTTTCTTGCTCACAGGATAGCCATAAGCAGACAGTGGTTTAATCAGATTTATTTGTTATTCAAAGGCATTTAGCAATTTTTATTACTATCACCACAAGTTTGAGAGAATCTGATGCTTGGTATGCATTATTTGGGCTCTGTGACTGTGTTGAGATTGCAGGATAAACAGCCTGGTCTCATACCTATTCCCTTACTGAATTAAAGCACAAACACTTCTGGCATGAATACTCATGTTATTTGGCTCAGGCAGGAATTACGAGGTGAAATTCTGCGACTGCACTATAAAGGAGGTCAGACTAGATCTTGGTGGTTCCTTCTGGCTTTAAAAACCTATGCATTTATATGTGCAGATTTTAAGTTTGGCTTCTGTTAATCCCCAAATAACCCACCCTGAGAGGGTGTTGGCTTTTACACTCCCAACTTCTGTGAGTCTCACAGGCCAGCTGAAGGGAGTTCAGCCTCTCAGTGCCATAGGTGTTAGCATTAAACCATGTTCTTTAGGCCCATAGTTCATTAATTGCACTAATACTTAAGATTTTGACCTTCATTTTCTCTGTTATGTACACTGTATACACTTGTGAAAAAGCAGCAATATCATGAGCAAAATAATTTTGAAAAGGATCAGCTGTTTGGGAAAAATTTGTGTCATTTAACATTTTCTTCATGCTAATTATAATCTATATTAAGACCTTTATGTCAACAGAGACATCCTCTGTCTGTGTACTATGAGAAACTGAGTTCTGCACTGCTCTTCCCCAGGACTCTCTTCCTTGATAGACCTTAGCAAGGTGACCTGAGACCTCACACTGGGGCCAAGGCAGAGGATGTTCATGCTCACTGGATATCCAGCTGATGTATTTACTTTGAAGAGATGCCAGCTTTCTGTGCACCAAATTTACACCTACACACACTAATAGTGTGTAGACATATTTGTAAATGCACTAGCTGTGGCACTTGTCCTCTTTCAGAAGTGGGCATCTGTGGCTCCTCTTGCAGGGTGCAGGAATGGGGAACGTGCTTTGCAAGATGCAGGGTTTGGAGGGAACAATCCTCAAATAAAAGCCAGAATTCAGTGTTTATTTTGTAAGCTCTGGCCTTAAAATTGTCTTTTTAATACCACTTCTCAAAAGGTCACCTTTAAAAGTATTTTCTTGCCCCCGCTTCCTCATACTTCACAAAAACAGTGACATTAATCCCAGAGGTTAAATAAGAACTTAAACATCTAAATTATACCTCACCTGTGAAATTACACAAACCATAACAAAAGACCCCAAACTTTGCATTGCGAGTCTATTCCTGCCCCATGGCTAAGGTTTGTGAGTCATTTGGGCCCACAAGTCAGGAAGGAAACTTTATTGAGAATGTATTCAGAGTATTGCAAAGTAATGTAGTTTTAAGGCACTGTTTCAGGATTTAGCAGTGGGAGTCTGAAGTAGCATTTTACAAGATGATTTGAGCACATTAAGCTGTATTTAAATGTAGCATATAAAAATGCAAGACTAAAAATCAGTGTTAGAAATTGGCATTCTTAGATCTATTTTAGTGGTAGCCTGTCGACCAGAGCCACTGTTAACAGAAGACTGAGCCTGACAAGGTAACTCTTAAGAAAAGCTACTTCAGAGGCTGCATACTAATGTAAATGAAAATCAATTAACACAGCCAGATCTTCAATTAGAGATGATTTGTGCATATGATTTGTAATTCTCTCTCTTAACCCCTTTCTGTGTGACTGGGATTTCAATTTCAATCTTTCACCACAAGTTATGTTCCA